ACACACACACACACACACACACACACACACACACACACACACATACAAAAGTACAAACGCATACACGCAGAAACACACACACATGTAAACAGAAGTACACATACACACATGTAGATAGATAGATAGATAGATAGATAGATAGAGAGAGAGAGAGAGAGAGAGAGAGAGAGAGAGAGAGAGAGAGAGAGAGACCTTATAGGTGTATTCAATCACACACTGCCGGCCTGATAAAAAGCAAATGTATTTATATCAGAAAAAAATATATATAAATAGATAAATAACTATAGAAAATTGAAATTAAATAAACAAATGAAAATCCATGAATACACAAAAGTACATACATCCAAACAGGATTGGTCTAATAGAGAAAACACAATATAAATCATGGTTTTATTGTTAGTATTGAATCTGAGGTTCCCTTTGTGCTGGCAGAGAAAAAAATATATAAATAAAACAATAAATGCTTTTGAAAAAATATTTTTTTGACAAATGGAAATATATGATAAAAAATATGTATATATTTCAGAGATAGGTATGGCTGGTTTGCAGGTTTGTAAGAAACAGCGAAATTCTACTTTTTGTCATGTCATTCCTGGACCGGTGATGATTAGATAGTTCACTTTTATCCTTATCGTTGTCATGATCACAACCATCATCATAAATGCTGTCATTTTAATCATAGTTGTTATTATTATCGTCATAACTGTCATGTTTATAATTATTAGTTATTTTAATTGATTATAATGAATTGTTGTCATTATCATCATAATTGTTATCACTGTCATCACATTTGCTATCGTTCTCACCATAATTGTTTTCATCATAATTATTATCACCACCACCACCATCATTAGAATGGTGGTGGTGGTGCTTTTATTATCATTATACTTGTCAGCATTATCATCATCATTTTTTATCATCATCACTATAATTGTTCTCACTATCATCTTTATTGTTATCATTATCAACATATTTTTTTATCGTCATCACTATAATTGTTCTCATTATCACTATAATTGTTCTCATTATCATTATCACTATAATTGTTCTCATTATCATCATCACTATAATTGTTCTCATTATCATCATCACTATAATTGTTCTCATCATCATTATCACTATAATTGTTCTCATTATCATCATCACTATAATTGTTCTCATTATCATCATCACTATAATTGTTCTCATTATCATCATCACTATAATTGTTCTCATTATCATCTTCACTGTTATCATTATCATCATAATTGTTTTCATCCTCAACCTCATTACCGTTATTGTTATCATCATCAGCAGCAGCATGACAATCCTCGCAGGCCGTTGCTATTGTCATCACTATAAACATAAAATACATCAACGTGAAATTAATACATACACGTATTTAATAACATTCCATCTGATTACTTAATTACCCACTCACTCATTCATTTACTTATATAAATGTTTTTTTAGAGGAATTCACTCATTCATATATTTTTATAACTCATTCACTCATTCATTTATTTTTTTTTTTTAACGTGAATAACTCGATGCAGTATGGCATTCAATACGAAAATTCCTTTTAGAAATATGGAGTTGACACAAATTTAAAAGCTGGAAAACCAATCTGAAATGTTATGAAATTCACACACTCACTCTCCCTGCCTTATACCCCCCCCCCCTATTTTTTTAATGCTCAGAATTATCTGTTTTCGTTTTAAAAAGGGCTTATTAACTGAGACTTGCCAATTATATCTTAAGAACCTAGGAGCTAAAGATTATATTTCTCTCTCTCTCGTAAACGATTATACAGTGACTAATACATAAAACTGAATACAAGGGAGAAGTTACTTATATAAATGTTTTTTAGAGGAATTCACTCATTCATTTATTTTTATGACTATTTTTTTTTTACGGGGAAGTTTACGTGAATAAATCGGTGCAGTATGGAATTCAATACGCAAATTCCTATTAGAAACATGGAGTTGACACAAATTTAAAAGCTGGAAAACCAATTTGAAATGTTATGAAATTTCCTGTCTTATATCCCCCCTATTCTTTTTTAATGCTTAGAATTGTCTGTTTTCGTTCTAAAAAAGGGCTTATTAACTGAGACATGCCATTTTTTATCTTAAGACCCAAGTAGCTAAAGATTATATTTCTCTCTCTCTCGTAAACGATTATACAGTGACTAATACATAAAACTGGCAATGGTAATATATCTGTCTTTCATATATACATTAGGGAATTAGAGAAGCAAAAATATGGTGAAGAGATTGTAATGTTTCTTTTTTTGTGATGATGATCTTAAATGTGCGAGGGAGATGACAGAGAATAGAAAAGAAAAGAAAAGAAAGACAGAAAGAAAAAAATAAGAAAAAACAGAGAAAAGACTTGCTTGAGCCTGAGAAAACGACAAATCGCCTTGAGAAGTCGAACGCAGGTGTCGTAAGGGAAGTCACCGCCGTGGCACAAGTGTTAACGCGCCGAACTGCGGTTGATGAGGAAGGGCATTCAATCAGGCAAGGGTGACACCGCCATATAACCTCTCAATACTGAATTGAGAGAGACCTATTTCCTGCAGTGGAATGAATGGCTGTTGAAAAAAAAAAAATATATATATATTCATATATATAATATATATATATATGTATATATATATATATATATATATATATATATATATATATATATATATATATATATATATATATATATATATACACACACACACACATATATATATATATATATATATATATATATATATATATATATATATATATATATATATATACTTATATATATATCCATACGTATGTATATATACGTATATGTATCTATATACATATATATACGTATATATATATATATATATATATATATATACATATATATATATATATATATATATATATATATATATATATATATATACATATATATATATATATATATATATATATATATATATATATATATATATATATATACAGTGACTAATATATATATATATATGTATATGTATATATATATATATATGTACATACATATATATATATACATACATATATATATATATATATATATATATATATATATATATATATATATATATATATAAATATATATATATATATATATATATATATATATATATATATATATATATATATATATATATATATGAATGTATATATATTTACACACACATACAAACACACACACACTCACACACACACACGCACACACTCGCATACACACACACTCGCACACACACACTCACACACGTATATATATATATATATATATATATATATATATATATATATATATATATATATA